TCCATGTCTGATGTGTCCACAAGCTTAAGGATCATACAATACAAATGGCATCTTTCTAAGAGTAGGGCAAATTTTTATATTTCTTTCTTCCCTCCAACACACGGTATCACAGGGTATCGAACTTCTCCTTCTGTGGTCTCAATTATTCCTGACCAATGCTATCCACAATATTGTTTCTGCCTTCATTTATTCTTATCTGCTTCCTGTTTCCACTCATTCATGTTCTCTTAAAGTAGCTTAGGAATTTGCTCTTTGGCGATGAAGTGAATAAATCAACCTTAATCTGGCATGTAAGTGGATATCTGATCACATCCAATGACTTCATCTGAGAGCTCGCAACAACTATTTCTGCTTCATTGATTCAAAGACATTTTAGTCCTTTGAAGCATTCTAATGTGGTTTTTATACGATACCAAAAAAAAAGTAGCCATAAAACATTATACCTCTCTGGAGAGAAGAATAAGAGATCAAAATTTCTGTTAAAAAATGTGATTTAAGCCCCAAACTCTCCTGCCTGTTCAAAAAGGAAATCCACAAAATAGGCATTTATCACCAGAAGGAAAGATTATCCCAATTTCTTTTGGTGGTGAAACTCTGACCCTAAAGCCGTGCAGTGATAAATAGATAGCCTATTTCTGTCCCTTTTATCCACAGATTTCAAAGTGCAAGTCAGAGGAAGGTGACATTTTGGGGCTTATCTAAGTTAGGATGAGGGAGAACAAAAGCCAGAAGATTTGAGTGCCTTGTTCATTGTTAGGCATAAAGGCAGAGATGAAAGAGTACTTGGTCTGACTCGTTCTGGGCTTTTCTTGTAAAATAGCCAAATCAGCCTCTGGGCCTGATGGGAGTCGCCCAGGCTTCAGTGAGGGTGGACATGATTTCTGTGGTGTTATGGATGGCATCTGAGGCCAAGATTTGGCTCCATATCCCTCGAAACAAACATTTAATGAGTAGAAAGTTCAACTTCCTCAGAAGAATTACCAAGTCAGCTTTTTACTTCGTTGTCCTGTCGTTTGCTAGAGTTTTTGAGAGAACACAGATGTCTGCATAAAGATGATGACAGGTATTATCAAACTTCCACTGAGGACACTGGGTACATGTTTTCCTCAAAGCACCTGGGTACTTCATGCTGTGGAAAATGGCTCTTTCTTGTCAAGGTCAATAATGTAAGGAGAGTCATGCAGAGAAGATTCCTGTGTGTATAAAAGGCTTGGGAAATGGTCTTCACCATCGCCAAAGCCAATGTCTAACCTTACTAAATGCAACAGGCAACATCCAGTGTTCTCACGCTTTCCCAGGGATGCCTACAGCACAGGCAAACTTCCCTGTGGTCCCCAGGAAGCTTCCAGAGGCTCTAAGGACTTCATCACACTCCATTTATAAATGTTGACAGTTTTCTAGGAAAATGAGGGACTTTCCCTGGAAAAGAATTTACCCAGCAGTGACCAGATGCCCCACCTCAGTAGAAAATAGTGGACAGCTGGGCAAAAAGCTGCCGAAACCCTTGGAAAATGATGACTGAATGTCAACACTGCAATGCACACATGCAGGGTAGAAAAGAAAAAAAGATAGTCATCTCTTTAATGAGGACCACCAGCTCACTGACCCTGATTTTGGATGACTCTGCACCAAGTTTGCAAAATGGAGCAAAATCCGAGTTGGTTCTAAGAGGCAGGCACTTGCTCTTGGAAATATTGAGGCTTTCTTCATATTCACAACTTTCATTTTACTCCAAATGAGCTTATTCCTAGTGGAAAAAGGACAGGGATACTACTTTGTCTATTTTAGAGAAAAGAAAGTCAGAGAAAGGTCGGGGCACCTGGGTAGCTCAGCTGGTTGAGCATCCTCTTGGTTTTGGCTTAGGTCATGATCTCAGGGTTGTGAGATCGAGCCCCATGTTGGGCTCCATGCTTAGCACAGAGTCTGCTTGGGATTCTCTCTCTCTCTCCCCCATCCCTCTCCCTGCTTGTGCCCGTGCTTTCTCTCTTTAAAATAAATAAATCATTTTTTGAAAGTCACAGAAAGGTCTATTTAAGATATGGCACCCAGGAGGAGCCAGAACTGGCATGATTCTATAGGTTTAGGGAAATACACCTTGGAGAGAGGAACCCCTCATTTTAACTAAGACACCCCACAAATGGATAATAACAGTATTATAGGCTTAATAATGTTGACATAAGGGTCTCTTCCAGAAAAATGACATTTTAACCTCTTGTTTAAAATTCCAGCCCTTTATTTCCTCAGAAACTGTTCTCTTGTCTCTGGATTAGAAAAGTTTGCTGCACATGCAATTCTTTGTCCCCCCGAATCCCAGATTCCTGAGGATTTATATCACAGGACTCTTAGAAGTACACATCCTGATCACCAAATGGAGTTGAGCTGAAAGTACGTTTACTGTGTTCTGAGTTTCTCCTTCTTTTCACTTAAAAAGAATACTAAGATGTTACTATCAGAGAAGCAATATAGTCTGGAAGGTGAGAGGTCCTTGAGTAGACAAAGATCTGCATTTAAGCTCTGCCCATCTTGAGCAAGTTCATGAACTTCTTAGCACCCAGGTGTTATATTTTTGTAAAACAGGGGAATGGCATCAGCTACCTAGGGAGCTGACATCAATCAATAACACTTAAAATACATTTTTTATTGACCACATACAATGCAAAACACTTTCTAAGCTTTTTAAATGATCATCTCATTTAATGCTCACAATGTCTCCTTGAGTTGGGTACCATTATCTTCATTTTATACAGACGAGGGAAGCGAAGCTTTGAGGCATCACACTCATGCTTAAGCCAGAATTCAAACACAGGCCCCCTGACTTTAGGGGGGAGCTATGGACTACTACATAAACAATGTGAGTGAACTGATAAATATAATATGCTTAGCACAGTGACTGACATGTAATAGAGGTTCACTAGAAGTTTTGATACAATTAACGTTAATTCATGTTTATCAGCAGCTAAACTCTTTGAGGGCAGGCACCGAGACTCATTTTTGTAGCCTCAGATTCTAGTACAGAATGCAAACGTGCTCCGTGAAGACTTGTTAGGTGAAGAATGAACACAGATTCCACTTGGAATCATCCGCACTACAGAGAAGAGCAGACTGAAGCCACTTTCAGCTGGTCTAAGCAAAAACATATCTAGAATAGACACTGGATCCCCTTTGCCCTTCATATTCCCTATTATTGGCAAGGTCTCATAAGCCTGGTATCTCATAGCAATACAGAATACAAAGAATTTGTGTTGTGTTTTTGTCCTTAACAAATAGTATTTATCAAGAAATAATCTCCTTCCCAAATGGTAGTGAAGACCCATGCAGAAAATTAAGGACTGTCCTCTCTCCTTAACCAAGTCAAAACAAGAACCTGTAGAGACTTGGAAAAACTGTTAGGGACTTGGTTTAGGGGTAATCAAAGGTTATGAAATTGATTCCTAATTATTTGTGTTTTTAAATTTCTAACAATATCAATTAATAAAATTAAAATCTATTGATATTTAAATTAATTTAAAAATAAAACTTAAAGTTAATTAAAATTCCTACCAAAGGATACAAAAATGCAGATTCAAAGGGGCACATGCACCCTGATGTTTATAGCAGCATCATTAACAATAGCCAAACTACAGAAACAGCCCAAATGTCCACTGACTGACAAATGGATAAAGATGTGGTGTGTACACACACAAAAACACACACACACACACAAACACACAGGAATAGTACTCAGCCAGCAACAAGAATGAAATTTTGCCATTTGCAATGACATGCATGGAGCTACAGAGGATTATGCTAAGTGAAATAGGCCAAAGAAAGACAAATACTATATGACTTCACTCATATGTAGAATTTAGGAAACAAAAGAGATGAACATAGGGAAAGGGGGGGGAAGAGAGAGGGAAGCAAACTATAAGAGACTTTTTTTTTTTTTTTTTGCCATAAGAGACTCTTAATGACAGAGAACAAACTGAGGGTTGCTGGAGGGGAAGTGGGTGGGGGATGGGCTAAATGGGTGACGGGCATTAAAGAGGCCACTTCTTGTGATGAGCACTGGGTGTTACATGTAAGTGATGAATCACTGAATTCTACTCTTGAAACCAATATTACACTATATGTTAACTAACTAGAATTTAAATAAAAATTTGAAACAAAAATAAAATTCAAAAAATAAATAAATAAAATAAAATTCCTAACTCAATAAATAAAAATAATGATTTCCTTATAATATTTTGGTTTAGGATACTGCCTTTTACAAAAGTTCATTCTTATATAACTTTCATGATACTACTTAATTTTAGGAAGTTTACTAAAAATGAGAAAGCCTGGGTTCAAAAAAGCTTCATATCTTGCTCAAGGTTATACAATGGATTAAAGGCAGAACCACTTAGGGGACTTTTCTAGGCATCTGAAAAGAAATGTGGACTTGAAACACTGACAAGAGAACAGACAAGCTTCAGCAGAGTTCAAATATTCAGAGATTAAGTGGCATTATGTAATCACATATGGCTGAAGACCCTTTATAATTTTTAACCATTTTTTTCTCAAGGACAAATTTTCTTGAGATTGTACCTATTTTTAAATTAAAAGAACAAAGAAAGGAAGAGAGAAAGAAGGAAGAAGATATAAGTTAATTACACTCGTGTTACTTAACAAGTAATTATTTTATGCAAATCAAATTTTTCTAGAAAATTACTACAATTACGTTTAATGAAACATAGATATTGGGGTAAATGATTGCCACCGGAATCCCGAATATACTCAAGTCAGTACTTCCCATTTAGCCGTCAAGCTCCCAGCTGGAGGTAAGCCGCTGTGAGCCGGAGTGAACAGGTGCAAGCGTGAGCTCACCCAGACCTCCCTGTGGCTGTTGTGAAAGTGGAGGTAATACACGCCTCAGCAACACGAGGACCTAATTGTGACACACGCAAAGGACCGTCCCTCTGGAACTATCCATGTTGGTGACGGAAGGCAGGTCTCGTAAAGAGGAAATCAGGAGCAATAATTACCTAGGCATGTAAAGGACTCTCTCGGCCACCACAAAACCCACCCTGAAGAAGAGATTGCTGGCTGGAATGAACGGGAAAACCAGGAACAACAAGCCCACTAACACTTCCTTGTGCTCCAGTCTCTGAAACACACAATAGTGAAGGACAAATTAATTTTTTAAACATTTCACTTCAGTCGGCATTTAACCATCTCTTTCATTCTCAAGTTCTCATTGACGGAATGAATAAACGAGACCAATGCAAACCCTTTGATCAGTGTGCTGAATTCATCAGAGAAAGCCCTCGGGCTGAAAGACCTCTGGCAAGGCACACGTTTGCCACCCAGAAACCTCTGATAATTGCACAGGATCAGTGACCATTACTCCTTGTTCTGGGCCAGCTCTACCGCAACCCTACTTTTTGGTTCTGGTCCCTTTCAGAATCTCTGTGCCCCCCCTGCTCCCCCCCGCCGCCAGGCAACTGGTTTCCAGGGAGCAAAGCAGCTTAATAGAATCAAGCCCACTAAGGCATCATGGAGAATTCTTATCCTCTCAGAAATAGAATGCATTAAAAAAAAAAAACCCACAACAAACCTACACAACGCTCACCAGAAGCTTAGCATAAAGCTTGGCATAAAGGAAATTAAATGCAAATGGTAAAATTCAGGGAACCAACAAGTGAGATCATTACAGCTGAGAAATTTTTAGCTCAAATTAAGCCAGTAATTTTTCCATGAAATTTTTTGGCATCAAAAATCATTACCATAATTCATTAAATTGACAAAGCACCTTTCTCTAATATTATGTATTATTGTAGATATTAATTTGTCAAGATTTTTCTGTCACTTCTAATTAGCAGAAAAAATTATTTATTACTAATAATTTGTTATAATGGACACTGTAAAAGTTAGTTTGTATTTCCATGACTGTCTATGATATGAACACATCTGAAGACAAGCCTAGTTAAAACAAACCTTAATATATGATGACATTATTTTTTCTCCTTAAAACAGTTTAAGAAAACCAAATAGAACTTTGCATATTACATTTATAAATATTTCTTACAAACACTTAAAGGTGTATTACTTTTAATAATTGTAGAAGACTAGATACAAGAGTTTTAAATATAAATAAAACTTCCTAATACAAACTACTAATGCTTTAAGTGGACAAAGTAAAAGATTTTTAACATCTTGAGAAATTTGTCACCCGGATTTTATTTTATTTATTTATATTTTTAAAAAGATTTTACTTATTCATTTGACACAGAGAGAGAGAGAGAGAGAGAGAGAGCATAAGTAGGCAGAGTGGCAAGCAGAGGAAGAGGGAGAAGCAGGCTCCCCGATGCGGAGATCGATCCCAGGACCCTGGGATCATGACCTGAGCCGAAGGCAGACACTTAAGGACTGAGCCACACAGGCGCCCCATCACCTGGATTTTATTAAGATCTTTGTTTTGCTGATTATAACATATAGAGTAATAAAATTTTGGAGAGCAATTCCATATGAATAAATGTGATTTGGACAATTTCCCCTAAATAATTAATGGTTCTGTAAGTTACGATCTCATTTTTTTTAACCTAAAGGAACCATACTCTTTAGAATTAAAAGATGAAAGGGAAAAAAAGGCTTTCATAACAAGCCTTCAACTGAAATGGATACAATAGGGCTGATGTTATATTTTCTCTGGCCCAATAAAATTGGGAATAAAAAAATAGGTGAGAAAAGTAGCAAGTTCATTATATTTAAAAGCTGCAACCTATTTTTTAATTTAGATTATACTTTGAATTTACAAAGTACATTTCATCTCAAGAAGTTAAAGTTTACATAATTTAAAGAAGAATAACACCTTCATAGGAATCCTGTGAATCAAGAGCAAGTATTTCTTTGCTAAAATTGAAAACGAATCCCAGAGAGTAAGTGTCTTGTCCAGTGTGAGTCATGGACTCTCGGCCTACTATTGATTGGTGTTCTACTTCTCTCGATGCATTTTTATTTTTTAGCTATAGTTGACTATTTCTTTCAAGCCTGTCAAAAGGTGAAATACTTTTTACAAAAGAATTCGCATATTGTCCCATAGAAATTTCTGAAGAGAATTTAATATGCTCTATTTATTAATCCTATAGAATTGAAACGAAGAGTGTAAACAGAACTCCAACCAGGCTGTTAGTCATGTCCTGGGTAGTGTTACATATAGTGAGCCACCTCTCGGGCCGTCCTCAAGGTTATGAGACAACAGTGCCCACTGGGGAGCTGAAGGAGACATCACTTCCACACCTGCAATCTCACACCTTCTTTCCTGGACAAAGGCTGCCTTCCTCACTCTGGTGGGCATGTGTTTATGTCCTTTACTCAGCAGAATCCCCAGGGCTTTCAGGAGCCCCTAGGTTGGGAGGAGGCCGGTGTCAGGTGACCTGCAGACACCCAACTCCGTGCCTGCCCGCCTCCCCCTCCCTCTCCCAACCCTGCAGGGGGCAGGACCCCCGCGGAGCTCACCGCTGCTGGGGACAGGGAGGATGAAGGTGAGGGTCAAGGAGCCCCCAGCCGCCTCCAGAGGACCAACGTGCAAACTGAAAACTCACAGCACCGCGTGTTCCTTGTTCCTCCACCAGGTTCTTCAGCCTCCAAGAGCATCTTTATTTCCTTCATGAATCATTCCAGTTGCAATCACACATTTATCTGTGTGTTTCCTGTCTTTATAAAATGTCTCCCCCAGGAGACCAAGAGACAGGAGGGCAGGGAGCTGGGCAGCTGTGTTCGCTGGTGCATGGTCTGTGCTTAGCTCAGTGCCTGGCACTTAATGGGTGCTTGGAAATATTTGTTGAATAAATCAGTGAATGAATAAATGGACTGGGCAAGAGAGAAAACTGGATGCAAGAAGGGGAGAAGTTAAGAAGGACATCCTGGTGGAGGTGATGATCTGAGTTTGAAAAAATGAACGAATGCTTAGAAGGCAGACAAATTTGGTTGTTGCTGGGATAGAAGGGCAGGTCCCTGGAAGAGGGGCTGATCCTATGGGGAGCTTTTTTCTCAATTCAATTGAAGACAGCAACACAGCACCCAAACTCAATTAAGTGTTCCTATTTTATTTTGTCTTGAGAAAAATAATATTCATGACAAATTCTTTATTCTCAAATTAAATTGATGATCATACCCTTTGTCTTCCCTCCTCCCCATTCAGTCAAGAGAAGGAGAAACTATTCAGAAATGTATTTCTTTAAATGGCAAGTCAATCAACCAAGCAGAAAGTTGTAAAGTTAGGGGGAAATGTCATGGATATGGCTGAATTTTCTTCTTTTTTTTTTTTTGGCTGAATTTTCTAGAATGAGAAAGAGTGGGAGGGAATCCAATTTTGCATGTTGTGGATCACAGATGTGACAGAATTGGCTAAATAATTTAAAGCTTGTTTCGGCCTAATAGAAACTCAAACAAAATATGAGTGGGGGGGAGAGAATTTGTGACTTTCCAAAGTACACAGAGTGCATTCAATTTCTAGGAATAGAGGCAAATGGATATTTACTTATTCAAATTACAGTAGGGGGTAAAAAGACATGAGAATTAAAAGAGCTAATCATCAGCTATTAATAATATGCATTATTTGATTAACCCTGCAACTTCAAGAGTTAATTTATTTCTTTGAGCTTTAACCTGATGATCAGTAAAACCAAGAAAAGGGTATTGACACTTACTGTGTCTGTAAGGAAAAATAGATAGATTCAGTATGACAGATGGTAGGTTTGATTCTTTTCTGGCTCGGGACGAGGTAGAGAAGCATGCCCCTGAGCTGCAAAGAGATCAAGAGCTCTTAACACCTGCCCAGAGAGCGGCTCTGCCTCCACACCACCTATCTGACCAAGCAGCTAAGGAAGGGAAAAGAAGCGGTTTTCTCAGGACCATTAGTGACCTCAAAGGAAATGTCACTCCAGAATCCAAGTCCAGCCCAGCAGCTTCTGGTTTATTTCTTCCCCTTCTCACTCTCAGTTCACGTGTCAAAGCACAGGTCACGGACAAGGGGACACACACACACACACACACACACACACAAACACGTGCACTGTGGCCAGCAGGGTGTGGGTGTGTGTCCAGGAGAAGAGGACCCCTCCTTGGCCCATTCAAAAGAGACGACATCCACTGCTGACCGTTCCCTTCCAGAAAGGCAGAGAATGGACCTCATTATAGTAATTTTTTTAAGATTATTTTTTCACTTTTAAATTTTTTCTACACCCAACGTGGGGCTCGAACTCACAACCCCGAGATCAAGAGTCCCATGCTCTACCAATTGAGCCAGCCAGGTGCCCCCTCGTTACAGTGATTATTACCATTATTATCATATTTTCTCCCACCTCTACAGTTTTCAGGAAAATGGCATGTAGGGTGCGAGTATGTTCTCGGAGTTCTACATATACCACAGTTATATTTCAAGCCTAAAGATTTATTTGGCAGCGCTGGGCTCTCGCTGTCTGTGTCTAATTTATCAATCTTTGGAGAAGCGGATGACAGTCGAGCTCCCCTCTTCAGCCCCAGGAGTCAGGCGTTTGCCAAGCTGACAAGGGGCATGGCTGCCAATACATATTTGGCCCTCCTTTTTCTTTCTGTTTAGGGGTCTACTTCTTCCATTAGACTAGGAATTCCTTGATGGGAGTCACCATCTCATTTAAATTTGTTACCTAGATACCTGGTGCAAGCAGAATTGGCATGCGACTTGTATGTGTTGCAATAGTAAAGCTCAGCGATAAAAGCAGCATGCGCATCACTAGCGGAGCCTTTACAGGGACTCCCTGCCAAGGAAATCTTTTACTTTTGGTAACCCTCTGAAAGATGGTATTTGCAACATTAACTTGGGGTGAACAGTCCTCAGGCTGCAGATGCATCCAAGAGCATCCTGTGAGGGTCTGGCAAGACTGACCAATGGTCCTAAGGTATTTTAATGAGGACATACACATGCCTTCTGCCCAGCTCTGATTCCATTCACTGTTACTTATGACTACTTCCTTTGCCTGGTCCTGTGGCTTGTGTCATCAGGAAAAGTTACATCTTTCACTTTATTGACATTCAGTTTTAATTTTTAAAATACTTTAACCTATTAAAATATCTAATTGCATTCCTATTATTGTCACTGTGAAAGTTATTTTTAATTGAAGATGA